GCCGTCCAGACACAGGGCTCGGGAGGCTGCGCCAAGGCTCCAAGGGAGGGAAGGGTCGGAAGAGAGAAAACCGTCCAACTTAACGACAATGTGGCCGTCAGGGCGGGCAGAGGAGCCGAGAGAGGACGGGGCTTCCGGGTGAGCTGGCGAGGGGTCCCGAGACAGACCTGCCGCCCGGCGGGTGACAGGACAGCAACAGCCCGTCCACACCGTGACAGCCAGGGGCTGCCGTCCAGGGACAGCCTCGGGGTGGCTGAGGGTCGCCTGCATTTAGCAGACGGCAGGACTGGCTGGAACAGGTCACCGGGTCAGGGCGTCACTCGGGTGCCCAGGACGCCCGAGTCCCTTCTGGGCTCCCCAGGGGAGGACAACGAGGGGGAGGGGAGGGCTGGCCGTGCCTGGGAGGAGGAAGGACCTCAGCTGGCAGACCAGACGAGAGCAGAGCCAGGTTGGACCCTCCGCCACGGTGCCGCGGGCCCCGCCCGAGCCTGCGCCTCCTCCCCAGGCACCCCTCGCACGAGACCCAGCGTTCTGCTCCACCGTCCTGGTCACCAGGGAGATCTCACACAATGGTTGCACCAAGCTGGTCACCATGAACGATGCTCCGGGGCCTGCGAACATTCGTCATGTGATCCGGGCTCTGGGTGGGCGGGGGCTGGTGCTGCCCCCTCTCCCCCAGGACGCGCCTCAACCTGCGGCTCCCACCCCAGGTACTCTGCGGAGCCCAGTCCCTGGACCACAGGTGTCCTGCTGCAAAGAGAGAAAACCAGCCAGGCGAGGTGGCCCTGAGCTGCCCGACGGCAGCTCGCTGCACACACATACACCCACATCGAGAGCTGCCTGTGCCAGGACACGGTCTGCGGGCTGCGCGGGCGAGCAAACCAGCGTGCCCGCGCTCCTGCGGCGTCTGGGACAGCATGGAGCAGGGCCCTTCCCGCCGGGGCTCCGACGTCCTCCCCCCTCCTGCGCCTGCTTCTTTCTCTGGATATTTATTCTGAGTCTCTCTCAACCCTTTGCTTCCAGCAATAACCGCAGCAGACGAGCTGGCTTGGTGTGGTTTTGTGTTGGCGCCACAAGGGTCGGGTTGGTCCGCTGTGCGTGGTCGAGGTCTGGCAGAATCAGAGAGGTGGTCCCCCCGCCGGCCATCAACGAACACACAGGCTCGGGGAACTGCTTCAGTCCACGGGGTGCACTGCCTCGACACAGACACTGTACGAATGCAACGCCTTAATCACACTCCCGGGACAGGAACCTCCAGCACAACAACGCCGTCTCTAGGGCTTCCGACCGTAGTGAGGCTCATCCCGCCAGGGCCCGGTGGCTCTGGGAAGACGTGCACACGTGTAAGGGGCCTGCGTGGGTGCACACTGTGAGACATGCACACGCACACAGGTTTGCAATGTGCCAGTGCTGTGTGGGAAACGCAACTCACCCGCGGTCCCCCAATGCGCAAGATGGGGACCAAGTGACACAATACCCATGAGCCTCCGGCCTGCTGGGTGCACCCACCAACAAACAAACCTGCGAGCCGACTTCGCATAGTGGCGCATGCCTGTGTGTGTGCGTGTGGTCCTGCCCACAGTGCCTGGAGAGCTGAGCCTGGCCTCCGAGAGAGCTGTGGAGGCCACAAGTCGAGACCACGGCATCGGCAGGGCTGCCCTCCTGTGGCCCTGGGACCCTGCCTGCCTCTTGCAGCTGCCGTGGCTCCAGGGATCCTTGGCCTGTGCCACCCCCTCCACCTCTGCGCCTACGCCTGGCTACCTCTGTGTGTCCTCTTACAAGGACGGCTAGCGGGATGATCTCAGCCGAGGTCCCCAAACAGCCACATCTAGGAAGACCCTTTTCCCAACGGGTCACTTTGCAGGTTCCAGGGAGCAGGACGTGGGCGTGTCTCTTTCTGGGCCCCAACCAGCCACGACAACCCAGGGCCCTGGTAGCGAGGGCCATGGAAGGAGCCGGGGGCCTCGACAGCCGGCCTCAGCTGTACCTTCGACGTGGCAGACCACTTCCGACCGGCAGGGACTGGGGGGCGGGGGGGAGGGGCGAAGCCATCCCCGTTTCCGGAGCCAGCATGACGCGTCACACGGGTCCGGCACGGGGAAAGGAGGCAGGAACATGCCAAGGCAGCCCGGGGCACCTCGGCTCGCCAGGTGCGAAAAGGAGGGGAGTGAGACCTCCCCGGGGTGTGCTGGCCGGGGGCAGACCTCCCCGCCGTCCTCCGGGAGTGGGAATGACCAAGGCCACTCGCACGAGTGTGAGGAGACATGCAAAGGCGGTGCCGCCTCCCCCTGGACCCCATTCTGGACCTCACGGGTCCCTGCTATCTGGACCCCCTCCACCGGGTGCAAGCCCTGCCGCAGGTCAAACGCTGCCTGCAACCGGGGGGGGGGGTCAGTCCGGCTAGTTCTGGGGTTCGGGGTTAGGGAAGGTCGCTCACTCTACAGACCCGGCGCCGGGCTCCAGCCTGGAGTCTGCCGGTGTTGGAGCGTGCCAGGCTGGCCGTGCACACGTGTGCTCGAACACGCAGCTCTCCTCCGCCACCCCAGGAGCCCCCTAATCACCAGCGCACGGGCTGTGTCCTGGGAACCCGAGCACGGGCGAATGACAGAAGCTCCAGCAACGTCCTGTATCAGTCAGGGTTGGCTCTGCTTCCCCGCAGTAACAAAGCCCCGAATCTTGGCGCTCACCAAAGGCGTTGGGTCTCGCGTGTGCTTCCCGTTTTGGCCCATGGATGCGGTCTCCGCATCCTGCTAGATGCGTCTCCGCATCCGGCTACCGGCTCCAGGATCCAGGCCGAGGGAGCAGTTGTTGTCCCCAACGTCACCATTTTTCATGGTGGCACGTGTGAGCCCGAGGGTCTTGCCCAGCGCCTGCCTGAGTCCCGCGAGGACCTGCCTGCCTCAGCCGCAGGGGCCCGGGCTGCAATACTGCCGCCGGGCAGAAGGGGGAGGCAGAGACACTCGGTGTCCGCGATGACAGATTTCGGGAGGAAAAAAAGTGGTAGGATGTGTGTGCAGGAGACACTCGATAAAGTAAACAGTCACCTTGATTTTTTTTTACAAAAAGCAAGCGCAGACTAGAGGGGAATATTCCCAGCATGTTACTAGTGTATGCTGACAGCCCGCGGCACACGGCGGCTCCCTGGCAGCCCGGCCTGTTCCCGTGGGGTGGGGGCGTGGAGGTCGCTGCCGCAGCGCAGTTCTGTGCCAATCTAACGCATCTGAGCGGAGCGTCTGCCACGTGGCAGGCCCTTGGTGGCAGACGCCGGGGACCCGTCCTGGTTTTGTGGCAGGAGTGACGTGAATGGGCAGCGCTGTCCCGTTGGGCCCCTGCCCTGCGTGCTCGGAGGTGGGGAGGGACGGGCTGGTGAGCTCACCCCCACCCCTGCAGTTCGGGGAGCACTTCGAGTTCGACTGCAAGGACTGCGTCTGCCTGGAGGGCGGGAGTGGCATCAGCTGCCAGCCCAGGAAGTGCAGCCAGACGGCCCCCACCCACTGCGAGGAGGACGGCACCTCCCTGGTCACCGAGGTCAACCCCGCCGACACCTGCTGCAACATCACCTTCTGCAGTAAGGCCACCCCCAGGCCCCACTGTCACCGAGCACGTCCCCGCACGCTGGGCTGTCCCTCCCCGGGAGCTGGGAGCAGCTGGCTTTGGAGGTGGCCGCTGGGCTCAGGCCTGGCGTCCCCGTGCGGGGGCTGGCCCGGGCGGGGCAGGGACCTGCGGAGGAGCCCCGCCCTGCCCACGGGAAGTGGGGGCCGTGCCTGCGGGGAGCCCCCCTCACCGCTGCGTGCCGCCCCGCAGAGTGCAACAGCAGCCTGTGCCAGGAGAAGCCCCCCTTGTGCCCGCTGGGATTCGAAGTGAAGAGCAAGACAGTGCCCGGGCGGTGCTGCCCCCTGTTCTCCTGCGGTGAGCAGGGCGGGGAGGGCAGGGGGGAACCGCTCCCTCCCGGCTGGCCCACCCACCCTGGCCCCTGGCTCCGAGCACCCGCCCGGCCTGGCCACGGGGTACACAGCAGGAGCCGCGGGGACGGGCCAAGTGGCCGCAGCCGGATGGTCTCTTAACGGCCTTTCTCCTCTTTCCCCGTCCCCAGAGCCCAAGGGTGTGTGTGTTCACCAGAACGCTGAGTATCAGGTGAGCCCGGCTGGGGGTGCAGAGGCAGGGCTGCAGCGTGGGGGTCCCGGGCGGGCTCCTGGGCTAGCCCCGGGGGGCCCTGCCTCACTGCCCCTCTCCCTGCCTGCAGCCGGGCTCCCCAGTGTACTCCTCCAAGTGCCAGAACTGCGTCTGCACGGAGGCCGTGGACAACAGCAGCTCCCTCAATGTCATCGCCTGCACCCACGTGCCCTGCAACACCACCTGTGGCCCAGTGAGTGGCCACCAGCCCCGCCCCTCCCCCGCTGCCTCGGTCTACCCTCTTCCCTCCTCCCAGAGAAGCACCCCCAGGCCCCCGTCCGTCTCCACGGGACTTTGCTGTGAGGTTTTCTCTCCTGTGTTCGATGCCGGCCCGGCACCTGCCGCACTTGGGGAGTAGGGAGGGGGGGATCCTGCATTCCCAGGGTCCCTGGGGTGGGGGCACCGGGTCCTGGAGCTCAGCCTCCTGTGTCTGTCTGTCCCCAGGGCTTCGACCTCGTGGAGGCCCCTGGGCAGTGCTGCAAGAAGTGCGAGCAGACCAGCTGCGTCATCGACCTGCCCCACGGCCAGGTCGTCCTGAAGGTGCGCAAGGGGTGGCCTCGCCCCCGCACGGCTGCTCGCAGGTGTCCTGGCGGCCAGCGGCCACCACTGGGCTTAACATAACACAAAGGGACCCTCCCGGTCCTGGAGCACAGGAGTGCCAGTGCCAGTGTCTTAGGGCCACGCTCCCTGGGGGGCTCCCCAGGGAGGGAGGGTCCCTCCTGCCTCTCCTAGCTCCTAGGGGCTGCAGGCGTCCCCCCTGGCTTGTGGCCGCGTCACTCCTGTCTCTGCCTTCCTGGTCAGGGGACCTCACCCTCCTCTTCTGGCCCTCGTAAGGATTTGGGGCCCACCCTGATCCAGGGTGGTCTTATCGTAAGAACCCCCCCCCCCAACATAATGATGCCTGCAAAGACCCTGCTCCGGAGTGAGGTCACACCCGTTAGGTCCAGGGAGTCATGCGGCCCCCAGGCCGGGCCCGTCCGAGCAGCTGCACCTGCCAGGTGTTGCGGTCTGTCCCCCTGGTCACCTCCGGGGCGGGCCGGCCTGCCCCCTCACCGACCCTCTGCCCGCAGCCCGGGGACATGCAGAGGGACCCCCGGAACAACTGCACCTTCTTCAGCTGCGTGAAGATCCACAACCAGCTCATCTCTTCCGTCTCCAACATCACCTGCCCCGACTTCGACCCCAGCACCTGTGTCCCGGTGCGTGGCTGTCTGGGGCGCCCGCTGCGTGCTCTGCTGGGAGTGTGTGTGTGGGGATCTCTCCAAAGTCCTGGGCGGTGGGGCTGGAGCTGCCCCAGGAGGCTTTGTCCCGGGCCCTTCCGCAGGGATGCCCGCCCCGTGCCGGGGGTCCGGGCTCACTGTCCTTTCTCTCTCTCAGGGCTCCATCACCTTCATGCCCAACGGATGCTGCCGGACCTGTGAGTACAGTGGTCGGGGTGGGCGTCAGGAGGGAGGCGTGGGGCGGGTCCCCAGTCTCCTCTGCGCCTCCCCTTGGCTCTAGTCTGGGTTCGAGGGCGTCACTCGGGGTGCCCAGGACGCCCGAGTCCCTTCTGGGCTCCCCCAGGGGAGGACAACGAGGGGGAGGGGGAGGGCTGGCCGTGCCTGGGGAGGAGGAAGGACTCTCGCTGGCAGACCAGGATGAGAGCAGAGCCCGTGTTGACCCTCCGCCACGGTGCGCCGGGCCCCGCCCCTGAGCCTGCGCCTCCTCCCCCCAGGCACCCCTCGCAACGAGACCCAGCGCTTCTGCTCCACCGTCCTGGTCACCAGGGAGATCTCGCACAACGGTTGCACCAAGCTGGTCACCATGAACGATTGCTCCGGGGCCTGCGGAACATTCGTCATGTGAGTCCGGGCTCTGGGTCGGGGCGGGGCTGGTGCTGCCCCCCTCTCCCCCAGGACGCGGCCCCTCACCGTGGCTCCCCACCCCCCCAGGTACTCTGCGGAGGCCCAGTCCCTGGACCACAGGTGCTCCTGCTGCAAAGAGGAGAAAACCAGCCAGCGCGAGGTGGCCCTGAGCTGCCCCGACGGCAGCTCGCTGCAGCACACCTACACCCACATCGAGAGCTGCCTGTGCCAGGACACCGTCTGCGGGCTGCCGCAGGCCAAGCAAACCAGCCGTGCCCGGCGCTCCCTGTGGCGTCTGGGACCGCAGTGAGCAGGGCCCTTCCCCGCCGGGGCTCCGAGCGTCCAACCCCACTCCTGCGCCTGCTTCTTTCTCTGGATATTTATTTCTGAGTCTCTCTCAACCCTTTGCTTCCCGCAATAAACGCAGCAGACGAGCTGTGCTGGTGTGGTTTGTGTTGGCGCCACAGGGGTCCGGGTTGGCCGCTGTGCGTGGTCGAGGTCTGGCAGGCTCAGAGAGGGCCCCCCCCC